TGTTAAAACATCTTATCTCAAGTAGAACATCTTCACCCCCTAGCGTTTGGCACTGATTTCAAACCAACCTGAGTTAAAGTTCAGGTGTCACCACTCTGTAACGGCATAGTTCGCCACTCTGACAAAGTTTCCTAATAACCTGAGAGTATGGATGAGAATACGGAAGCAAACAAGCCACAACAGTCAAGGGAGATGCTCTGGTGCAGCTACCGCATTTGTGTTGTGCTGCTACCACCAGGTCCGTCATTTGAAAGCATCGGCCGTTAAGTGGGAGAAAGTGAGGCTTTCTACAAACCCACAGGGGCAGTTCTACCATCCTAGAGGGGTGCTGAGCCAGCACTGACTTGATGGCAGTGAGGACATTCCAGGAGTCTGTGCTACCCAAGGAAGGGATAGGCCTGAAGGCCAAAACGTGCCCACAGGGCCACAAATGGTATAAGCCCTTTCATCTCATGGCTCCACTACATACAAACAACTCCACCCCCCTCACTCAGCTTTTGCTTAGGCTGTTTCTACTGCCTTGAATGCATTTGCCCGCAATCTCTTTTGTTAAAAACCTTTGGTTTTCAGCAATCTGCTCAAGTGCCACCACTTCCCTGGTCACTTTCTCTTCTGCGACCAGGCATTGAATTCTGCAGGGAGGCAGAGAACGGGGATGCCAAGAGATGGCAAAGCTCCCCACTAGCCTCCCCCAGCCCATCAAATCAGTCAGTGGGTACTCCTTCCAGTCCCCTTCCCAGAATAGGCAGAAAAACTTCTTTTGACTCCAATGTAGAAACAGGTTCAGCAAATGATCGTTTGAATGCCCGGGTCAGAGCCCAACTGCCTGCCTATCTTCTTGGGATTCAAAGGCTAGTGAGGCCTCCTAAAAACTAGGTGAAGGGAAACGTCGGACAGTATAAGACATGACAAAACAATCATTTACAAATTATCCAAGGGTTCGGGAGGGAGGAGTGGCGAGGAGGCAGGGGGAAATGAGCTGATACTAAGGGCTCAAGTAGAAAGCGAATGTTTTGAGAATGATGATGGCAACAAATGTACAAATGTGCTCGACCCAATGGATGGATGTACGGATTGTGGTAAGACGAGCCCCCAATACAATGATTAAAAAAGAGACCAAAAACTGTGTGTGGGGAACAGAAGGATTTCTCTCAAGCTGTCTCCCCGAAATATGTACCAGACTTAGCTGCTTGAGAATGACTGTACACTTGGAGGTCATCAAGAGTGGGTTGGGAGTCATTCTCCCTGAGAGTTATCAGCTGTCTAGATCAGGCAGACACCACTGTACCCCACAATAGGGCTCATTCCCTTCTGATATTGTTCCCTTAAAGGAGTGCCTGAAGGCAAGCCTGGGACCACTCTAGGATCGAGTCCAGGGTCCACCCATCTTGCCACACATGCTCCCCTATTCCCTCTCTTTACTATTGCGTGCTCACCCCTAGGTCACCCCCCTCCTATTGCTTGTATTGCCTATATTACAACCCCTCCCTATGACGTAGGCTGTTATCTGCTATCGGGGCTTGCATGCCTCCCACGATAGTAGTTGTCTATTTCATTGTATGAAACATCAGAGAGATCAAACCCGCCCAAGGGTGAATTGTACTGCCCCTTTCTGTGACATGTGATTCTATAATGATGTCCCCCTAAAGTGATATAATGGTGGTTAGCAATAGAGAAAAGAGGAGCTCCGGAGCCCGAGAGGCTCTCCCCAGCTCTGGGGCTGAAGGCTCTGCCCGATGATTCCCAGGGCCCTCTCTGGCTCTCGGGCCAGGAGAGACTTCCCAGTTCTCGGTCCCCAAGGCTGCACCTGCTCTCGTAGCCGGGTTCCCCCCACGAGGACCAAGCGGGGTGGAGGTGAGCAATGTAACGTTACCATGTAACGTGTCTGACTGTATTATTGGAATCTCTCTCATGAAGTCATCAAGAGATGACTTCAGTATAATACTTATATATTTCAACCATACAATTGTGCTTACTGAACCCGTGAGGAGTAGCAGCGAGTAGGGCTGGCACCTCACTCCCTCTCCCCTCTCAATTTAACTTAATACTACAACCGTGTGTGTAGAAAAGCCACTTTAACCTCTAGGAGTTTCCACTCTCGCCTATGAAGGTAGGATAGCATGATTGTGAGACTAAGGCAATCAGTTATGAAGCCCCGCACCCAGGAGGTACTTAACCCATAGTAGCCCCAGTGGACACTGGAGCAATCCAAAGAAAAGCAGAAATGGGGAGAAAAAGAAAATATGGAATAAGAACACATAAAACAAGATAAAGCAACAAAGCATAAGCTCACCTATAAAATGACACACTATTTTTAAAAACAAGCTGTTTATAGGAGATGCACCTGAAGGAGTTCCCCCTTTTATTTCCACTCATCCTAACACATGCAAAGGGTTACCTGCCGCCCTGACCACCCACACTGCAGATAACCCTTGCTGGACCCATCTTCTTGCAGCTCATTGGACAGGGCCCATTTGCTCAGGCTGAGTATCAATAGATTTTCTATATAATAAAGGCTCAAAATATCCTTTAGGCACCAAATTTTTTATTATTAGCCCACCTTCCTGCCCTCTTTTAACACATTGTAAACAAAATTAACCTTTTTTGACCCAGAGTTGTGACAGGAGCCAGCATATTACCAATGTAGGGGCAGACTGACACCTCTTCTCATGTTTTTTTTC